CAGAGCCCGAGGGCGTCGTTCGCGAGGCCGCCGCGGGAGCCCGGCCGCAGCGCGGGGAGGCCTGGGGCCTGGAGGCCGCCGCTGCCGCCATGCCGCTGCTCTTCCTGGAGCGCTTCCCCTGGCCCAGCCTCCGCACTTACACGGGCCTCAGCGGCCTGGCCCTGCTCGGCACCATCGTCAGCGCCTACCGCGCCCTCAGCCAGCCCGAGGCCGGGCCCGGGGACCCGGAGCGGCCAACGGCCCCGGTGCAGACGGAGCCGGCCGTGCCCGCTCGGCCCAGCGCCGGCGGTCCCCGGGCCCGCGACGTGGCCCAGTACCTGCTCTCGGACAGCCTGTTCGTGTGGGTGAGCGAGGCTGCCCGGGCCGCCGCGGAGGAGCGGGCCGGAGGGGGGGGGGGCCGCCATGTCACCCATTATGTGCAGGGGGCGTGGCTGGGCCGGGGTCGCCTCCCCGGGCCCCCGGGTGCGGGGCCTGGGGGGCGGGGTCCGCCCGCGAGCGCGCCGCCAGACCCAAGGCTGAGGGGCTGCGGTGGTCGCGGGGTTCCGGGAGAGCGGCGGGGCCGAAAGCGGGGGCGGCTTGAGGAAGGGGCTCCGGGAGGCGCGGAGGGCGCTAGGGCACGCGGCCCGGCCCGGGGAGGGGAAGGGGCGAGGCGGGTGGGGGTGGGGTGTCCGAGGGACCCCGAAGGGAACTCGAGGACCTCCGGGAGTCGGTTACCCCAGCGGTTCAGTGAATTGTGGAGGGAAGTTGAAAGGCTTTTCTGGCTCTGTCGGCCCGGTAATGTTGTTAGCGGGCTGCCGGTGAAGAGGAGGAGGGGGCAGAGACGAATCCTGTGCTGGCTAGGGGAGAATTGTACGCGTCCGGGTGTGTTGGGACATTTCTGTGAGGAGACTGGCTGTCTCCCGTAACTTTTTTTTTTTTTTTTTGCCATTTGTATATATGATTGTCCTGTTTGGCACACACACACACACACACACACACACACACACACACACACACAAAACGTGCTTTCTTCCCTGTTGTCTTTACCTGGTGATTCATGACGGTTTCCTTTGATGTCTGAGGGCAGTAAAACATTCAGAGTCAAGAGCTGCCTCATCGTTTTCACTCAGGATTTTCGCCTTTTAGTGATCCATTTTAAAACGTTTTCAGTTTGTCTGCCAGTGCAAGATAAGCAGCACCTACAAGGCATAAATGCCCGTTTCGTTTGTTAGGACGGATAATTTCAGGCTGGGCAGATAACAGTATTTTGGCTAAAGAACTTTGCTTCCACCTTGGCCTTAAATGCCATGCATGTACATGCACACGTGTGTGCCCAGACACACGCACACACACATAATGATCAGAAAAGTTGCTCCAGGATGTAAGTCTGTCACTTGGGTTTACTGTGGTGTCTTGGGGCTTGTCTTCTCTCCTACAGTTCCCATTTGGGGTTAAGAGTAGGCTGTAAATGACTAAGATTAATATTTCAAGGATAGAGAATGATATACAACTCATTTGTTATAATTAATCCCACTGTGCTTCATCAGGAAGCTGTGGGATTTATGAACCTGGTGGGCTGTGGATTAAGTCTCCCGGTCCTTCTAATGAAGAGATTAGTAGAAGGCAGTGAAGAGTGAAGTTTTATTCTTTCACCGCTGTGTACTTGATTTTGGTACTGTGTAAACAGGGAAGAAGGGAGAAAAGAAAGAACTCAACTCACCTCTCTTTTGTCTTATCTCCAGTCTATTTTTTCATTTGAGTTAGCAGGTAAACAACTTAAAAGTGATGTGAAGAGTGTTTCTGCCAAATGTTAAGATTATAATGTATTCTTTGATAGGTAAGTATGAGACCCAAATAAGCCTTTGAGACGGAACCACTATAGAATAGAACAACTGCTAGTATTATTTAGTGATTTTCCCCTCCCAGGAGTTTTTTGTTTTTGTTTTTACCAAACTCATGTTCAAATTCCAAGGTTTGTTTTTTTTTTTTAAAGATTTTATTTATTTGAGAGAGAGAGAATGAGAGAGAGAGAGCACGAGAGGGAAGAGGGTGAGAGGGAGAAGCAGACTCCCCGCGGAGCAGGGAGCCCCATGCGGGACTCGATCCTGGGACTCCAGGATCATGACCTGAGCCGAAGGCAGTCGCTTAACCAACTGAGCCACCCAGGCGCCCTCAAATTCCAAGGTTAACACCTCTTCATAAAACACTGCATAAAGCCTGTTGATTTTCCTGCGAAAATTATTTCTTCTAATAATTTTTTCATTATTAAAATAATGGAATTATTATTTCATTCGGCTTTTTCATTAGAGATCTTACCTAGAGCAGGTTTCTCATTTCTTCCTGATCTGTTGATGATTGTTTTCCTTTTTCAGTTGATCTTCTTAACGGTTTTTCTAACATCTTTCCTCGTTTTACCACTTTCATGCTGGCCTGCCTTGGTTTCTCAGACCCTCCATGTGTGCTCTGTAAGCTTTCCTCATCATCCATGGCATAGTTCTGCTTTAGTAGCCGAGCAGGAGCCACAATCTCAAAAGCCTGCTTCCTTAGCCTGACGGATAGCATGATTGAGTGAATACATGGTAGGGCCTTGGTCAAAATGGATCCCTTTGGCACCCTGCCCAAAGACATTCAGATTCAATTTTTTAAAAACCAAGCAAGATAAAACAAAAACTGAACTTTCTGCCAGTTTGCAAATCCTGCTGCCTGTTATTTGGCATATTGGAATCTCTAAAACTTATCTTTGTAGAGCACAATTTAATATAGGTCTGATAGCATCTCAGGAGGTTTTGGTTAACTCAATTCAGAATCTTTCAGAGGTACCATTTGGGGCACTCTGGAGGGCATAGCTGTGAACCCTTTCCCCTACCCTGAAAGCAATCCATGTACAAATAAAGCAAAATTTGATAAGTGTTGATAGATAGATTTAAAAAAAGAAATATGGCAGGGTCTGGAGGAAAGAGAAAGTAATGCCTAGGGGAAGGATGCTTGGAAGATGGTATTTGAACCCAGCTTTGGGAGGTAAGAAGGATCTCAGCAAGCAGCATGATGTATTACAAGTAGAGAAAACAGCATGTGAGGGTCAGATGGTGTATGAAAGGTAGTGCAGGGCCTTTGCAGAGCGGCCCATAAACTGGGCTCTTAAATTACAACTCCTTTGGGTCCTGTGATTAAGAGGGAGGTTGGGAAGGTAAAGGGGAGGCCTGGGAGTCGCAGGAGGTGAGGGAAGTAACCAACGCCTATAAAGGTATATTTCTGAAAATGGCAGTCTGGTACTTGAAAAATGTAGTTTCTCAAATTGAATCTGGGGATCAATTCAAGGGGAAAGGCAGAGCCTTGAAATCTTTATTTTGATAAATGTCCCAGGCGATTTTTTAGGCACACTGATGGTTGAGAAATGGATTAGGGAGGATAGGATGTGGGGTGAGGGTCAGATTTTGTAAACCTTGCCAGCCCTTCTAAGGAGCAAGGACATTATTTTGTGGGCCATAGGGTTTAAGTGGGAGTGGAGGAGAGGAGGGACTGTCATGATGAGGTAGTTTTCTCAGGGGTGCCCTGAGGCAGCAGTGGTGAGGATGGGAAGAGGCCAGGAGATATTGTGAGTTAGACCTCCCCCAAGGAGGTCTCTCCAGGTGGCACTGTGGTGTGGGTGTTGAGAAGAGGTCCTAGGGAGGCTCCAGGGTTCTCACGCTAGCAAATCCCCAGGTTTGATGTGACCACTTGTTTCTTCATGTCTTTCTAGAACTTTCATTCTAAAGTTTCATTCGAGATTAGGTTTTGTTATTCATTTCTAGGCTTATTTTACAATTTTCAGGTGACCCTTCCGTTAAAGTACCTCTTGATCCATTCCATATTGTTTTGAATTGTACAGTGTATTTGGCTTTTCCCCTTCTTTATTTGTATTATTTTCATTACTGTCACCTTTCTGGTTTTTTATTTTCCTTTTTTACAGATTTGCTTCTAAAGTTGTAAGAGCAGGACATGGTAAAATGGAGAAATGGGAATACGAAAGAAGTGTTAAGGTTCTGACATATGCAAATCAAGTAATTTAAATAGAAGTTGGGGGGTGGGGTGGGAGGGAAGGAGTCATCAAAAACGGAAATGGAGAAAAGTGAACTGACCATTTAGAGCAGGGATGGGTAAATTGGTGGCCTTTTTGGCCTGGCCTGTTTTGTACAGTCTATTTAGCTAACGATGGTTTTTATGTTTTTCAAGTTTTGTTGTTTTTTTTTTAAGGGGAAGACTGACAGAGAGTGTGTGGCCTACTGAGCCTAAAATATTTATTATCTGATAGCCCATTAGAGAAAACGTTGCTGACTCCTTTAAAGAGCCCAATTATGAAACTTCGGGATTAAAAGTAATTTACTTGGTTTGAGTCTTTATGAGTTGAATATTCCAATGAAGTTTAGAGAAAAATAGTAGCTTTAGAAATGTTGGGGCAGCTAAAGAAAAAGTACACTTCTAAATAATAGGATATAAGCCTAGATAAACAACTTAAAAATACAGGAAAGATCCTCAGGGTGAGGGGAAAGAGACAATTTGATTGCTTGCTATGTGCATGCTGAGTGCTTTGTATACATAAACTCACTTATTTCCCTGATATTGTGAAAAGAGGAACACTATCCATGTAATAAGGGGGAGTATGCATCTTTGCATTTTATTGCGTTTTTTTTTTTTTTTAAGATGTATTCATTTGTTAGCATGAATGCGGGAGAGCGGGGGCGGGGGGGGGCAGAGGGAGAGGGAAAAGAGAGTCTTAGGCCAGCTCCACACTGAGTGTGGAGCCCAACCCAGGGCTCAGTCTCACCACCCTGAGATCATGATCAGAGCCAAAACCAAGAATCGGACACTCAACCAACTGCACGGCCCAGGTGCCCCTTTCTTGCATTTTATACTTGTTGTCACAGGGAGCCTGCAGAGAGATAACATATTCCAGTTGTTCTTTCAGGGAAGAGACAGACAACGCTGTGTGGGGGAGGTGGTGGTTAGTGCTGGTGTTAAGTAGGAGACTAAGAAATATCCATATCGATCCTGTTCTTGAAACAGTACCTGGTACTTTAACCACATTTCATCACAAGCTCATGAGTAACATCCCATTGGTGGCCAGCATTTTACAGGATCAAAAATACCTCCAGGGTTACACAGTGATAAATGTGGCTAAGCTATTTAAGAGAGTTACCTGCTCTCTTCTCTTTTCTTCTCAGGCCAGACTGTCTTATAATTTAGTTTCTGTTGTTCTCAGGTAGCACAATAGAACCATTCTGGGAGGGAAATTTTCTTATGGAGCCTTAAAGGGAATTACTTTAAGCCTGATTAGGTAGGGGTTCCTTGGGTCCGTACTATCTGATGTTTTCTGTTATAGGCTGCTCAGGGACAAACAAAACTTGTTTTTATTTTGTGTAGGCTAATACAAAAGAAAGATGTTTGGTGGGGTCTTAAAAAATATTATTTAAGGTTTTTACATTGCTATAGATAAGAGAAACTTCTGAAGCATTTTAATATAGTAGAAATACCATGTAACAGGATCATTGAGGCCACCCAGTTTGGGATTGCTAGTTATCAGTCTCCCATCATGGTGAGAAAAATGTGGAACTTCAGAACTGGTCAGAAAGTTTATTAGACTCTAAACTTTAGAAAAATTAATTAAAAAATAAATAATGCATGATCACGGTACAGAAGTCACAGGTGATGTACAGTGAAAAGTAACTCTTCTGCTTCCCTTTCCCAGAAGTGGCCATTACCACTTTTTTTTTTTTTGAGATTTTGTTTATTTGAGATAGCGAGAGAGAGCGAGTGAGAGAGCACATAAGCAGGGGCAGAGGCAGAGGGAGAAGCAGGCTTCCCACTTAGCAGGGAGCCCAACTCAGGGCTCGATCCCAGGACCCCAGGATCTTGACCTGAGCCGAAGGCAGACGCTTAACCGACTGAGCCACCCAGGCACCCCCTATTACCACTTTCTTGTAATTAATGCTGGTGTGAAGTAGAAGACCAGGAGACATCCAGGTTGATTAAATCCTTGACACTGTTTCCATCTATGATTATACACATGTGTCTGTGTGTACGTATGCATATGCTTTCTCTTTTACATACAGGGTAACATGGTAATGGCGTTTCTACACCTTGCTTTTTTTCAGTGAACAAGTGATCTTGAAGTTTCCATACAATGCTAGTAAAAAAGAGAGCTGCTGAGTTAGTTTTCCTGGCTTCATTGTCTTCCACTGAATGGCTGGCAGTTTATTGAACTTGCCTCCCACCATTTTTCTGCTATTAGTGAACAGTGCTCCAGTGAACCCCTTGTCTTTACATTTATGTCTGGATTCTGCCTGCAAGGAAAACCTAGCTAGTTGCATAGAACAATAAAATGAGGTCAGTACTTTTAGGGTGGTCTATGTGGATAAAGTGGTGGTTCAGACCAGGCGTGCTGGAGGTGTGCCTCGTTTTGCTTGTTGGAAGTGAGAAGGTTTGTCCTGGTTCTATGGATGAACAACTGGGCTAAAGCGTTTCTGTAAGAATATTACTGGTGACCTAATGGAATCTGATCTGGGACTTGCTTTAATGTATTTACTTAGTTAATTTTTTAGAAGGAAATATTTTATTTCAGTTAGAAAACACCACTTATCTCATCCATTTATTTTTCTCTCCTATTCAGAGGCCCAGGAACAAATGATTTTATACGGTGTGAAATTTAGCAAATGCTCACACATAGAACCACAGTAAAAAAAAAAAATTTTTTTTTAAAGATTTTATTTATTTATTTGACAGAGAGAGCACAAGTAGAGGCAGTGGCAGGCAGAGGGAGAGGGAGAAGCAGGCTCCCCACTGAGCAGGGAGGCTGATGCAGGGCTCCATCCCAGGACCCTGGGATCATGACCTGAGCCAAAGGCAGATGCTTAACCGACTGAGCCACCCAGGCACCCCCCAATTTTTTTTTGTACGGGTGATTTTTTTTCTAATTGAAGTGTTGGTGGGATTTGCTTTTAAGTGAGGAATGCTACCATTATATTTCTTTCCATATTTGCAATTTTTCAAGGCTTTATCAGTTTTAAAGTTGAGAATTTATCCTATGTTAAGTTTTTTTTATAAATAGACATAGAATAAATAGTTTATTAATAATCGGTAAGGTGTTTTAAAAAAACACTTTGTTCATCATCTTAAAAATAATTTTTAGTTGCCTCCAATTCTCTGTAACTCTAGCTTTCATATAAAGTTCACAAAAGTTTAGCTCCTTCTTTTTACATAAATTCCCTTTCTAATATCAGTATATTTTCTCAAGCTTTTTTTTCCTCTTCTTATCCTTGCTAATTTTTAAATCTTCCATTGAAATTAAAATAAGAAATGATTATCTATGAGTGATGGGATTGTGACAGACTTCCACTTTAAAAAAAAAGATACTAATTTTTTTAAACTGTATTTTTGAACTTTAAGAAATGTAACTAAGAAATAGTAAATAATACTTTACTTTTTGTTTTGTAACCCAAGATATACAAGAATGTGCTTTTGGATAGAGCAATGATTAAGCCACCCCAGATTTACTTTCTTCTCCTGCATTGATTGCTCTCCCAGTAGCCTGCTTGGTGTATTGTTAGATGCTTATCAAGTTCTGTGTCCTGTAGATTCTAAAAGGTCTTTGAATGCGGGGTCTAGAGCTCCCTCATGTCTCTTAACCTCCCACATGCCTTGAACAAGTAGGTGCTAGATGTGTGGACTTTATTTCTTTATTTCCTATGCCTACATGCAAAACCAGCAAGAATTCTTTTTTTAAATTGTGTTGTAATTAGGCTGGGGGATGTTTGGCTGACTTAAAAAATTCTGTTCAGGGGCACCTGGCTGGCTCAGGTAATAGAACATGCAACTCTTTTTTTTTTTTTTTTTTATTTTAAATTTCTTTAATTGCTAAATGCCTCTTTGGCTAGTCTTTGTGGAGGATCACTAGTTAGTCCTACAATTGACTCATTTTTCCACTTTCTCATCTTTTTGTTGCAAACCACCTAAAAGTCTTATCTCCTCTGTTGAACATTGTTTGACACATTACTAAAATGGACCCTCTATGCTGTAACCACACAGAATAATAATGTTGGAAAGCATGAATATCTAAATGATTTGTAAAAGGTATTATTTTTTCCCATCTGTTTTGAAATTATTTCTAACAGTTTCTAAAGACATGGTCACAGCTGCCTGAAGCAAGAACATGCAACTCTTGATCTCAGGGTCAAGAGGTCCAGCCCCACGTTGGGGGTAGAGTTTACTTAAAAAAAAAAAAAGAAAAAAAAACTCTGCTCGGCTAGGAGATGTGGCATGAAGGGTTGTGGTTGTGGTTTTGTCTGATGAAGTTTTTCTTAATTAACATGACTAAAGTTCCCGTTGGCTGGTTTAGAACACAATGAAAATGAACCTTCTCCACATCTGTTTCATCTCCTTAAAAATTAGTATTCTAAGCTATTTTTTTGGACCGTTTCAAATAGGGCTGTTTGACAGGGAGTCACAAGTTAGGGATATATAGGATGTTTTGGATAACTGATTTGGGTTTTTTCCTGATTATTTGCAGGATTTAATTACCAGAACTGTTTCAAACTATTTTTTTTAATTCTTTAAAAATATATCACATATTTCCTTGTCCCATTAGGCAGAATAGGACTAAACATAATTTAATCTTTTTGTAATGAATCAGGGCTGCCATTATATATGTTCTCCCAAAGGGGTGCATGGTGTGAGATACTAAGGAGGACCTAAAGAGATAGATCTTAAGGAGCTTGTTTTCTTGCATTACTTCTTCAGTCTTTTTTTTCTTTGACAATATCATTTGCTTCTTTTAAAAATAGAGGGAAGAATGGCCCAGGAAGAAGAATATGGCCACCTTCCAGTAAAGTTAGTCAATCAAAGGTTAAAGCAGCCTTTACACTGAGTTGGGGTTCATTTCCATTGCTCTCAATGAAAGTCATATTTACTGTCTTTATCAAGGTCCTTTTGGCTTTTGGGGTCATGCAGAATTTTAAAAATCATTTGAGTGTAAGTGGTAAGATGTGCCCCACTAGTTTCTTGGTCAAGCGCAGCCCATTCTTTCATTTTGTGAGCATTATATTTGTTGTTTAAGTGTCGGGATATCCATCTCTTAATTATCTAAGTAAAGAGATTTCCCATCTCCTGTTGAAGAAGGCCTTGGTTTTGCATTGGTGGCTTCTGGTTGCCTTCCAGTTCTCAGACATGCCTGCCAGTTTGCTTCTTCCTTCTTCTTGGTTTCTCAGTTCCATTCCCCTCTGATGCCCCAGAACCATTACTTGAAGGCCAACACTGAGCATGGAGAACATTTATCTTTTGGCTGACAGAATGTCCCATTGTAGTATGTATGTGTATATACACATACCCCTATATATGTATAGGGGGTTCTCAATTTTTTTATGGTCTTGTGGCTTTTCTGTGACCATCAACCCTCTCCTCACCTGCTGTTTGTTTGGAAGGGCAGAGTAAGATATTTGGGTGCTGGGTTTTAGTTCATGATAACCTCAATTTCGAGAAAAGTTTTCTTCAAGGCTATCAAAATCTTAGTGTAGGAAATGATATACCTAAGAGACACCTATGGCTTACAGTGCGCATACAGTTTTGTATTCAGTATAAAGTTTACGTACAGTTCAGTAAAGGCCGAAGGGAAAGGTGGCCTGCTGGATGGTGCATACTGGGACAGGGCTCTGTGATTAACTGGTAAGCTGGTGCCTCTCCTTCCCACTCCTCATCTCTGCTCCCACCACCCATAAAAGTGTGCCCCTTCAAACATTACTTATCTTGTATTGGTAGGGAACTGTGGAGGCTCAGTCCTTAGAAATGTTGAATTCCTAATACAAAATTTTTAGACCTGCTTTTATTTTTCAACAGGAGGAAATAAACTTTCTTTCTTTGATTTGTTTACAGGTTCTAGTAAATACTGCATGCTGTGTTTTGATGTTGGTGGCTAAGCTAATCCAGTGTATTGTGTTTGGCCCTCTTCGAGTGAGTGAGAGGCAGGTAAGTCCAAACAGCAAGGATGGATTCTAGTGACCCAATTTTTTTTTTTTTTAACTCTGTGTTTGATATAATTTTAAACTTACAGAAAGGTTGCATGAATACTCTGAAGAGCTTCCATACACCCTTATCCAGATTCACAGTTGTCAACATTCTGTCCCATTTGCTTTCACATTTGTCTTTTATTTATATTATACATATTTTTTCTGATCCATTTGAGAGTAAGTTGTGGACGTCATACCCTTGGACCTCCAAATACTTCAGCATGTATTTCCCAAGAGCAAGGACATTTTCTTCTGTAACCATAGCACAATGATCAAAATCAGGAAACTTAGCATTGATAAAATACTTTATGGAATCCACAGTCCATATTCAGTGTAGCCAGGCTGACCTGATATTGTTCTTTATAGCTGTTTTTCCCATGACTTTCATGAATGCAGTTTTTAAAGAAGCATAGATTTGTTTTAGTTCGAATAATAATAAACATCACTCTTTAGAATATAGGCTCTTTTCCAAAGGAATTACTGAGAGATTTAGATTTCTCCCTTTGGACGAGTAAATTAAGATTCGTCATTCCACAAGCAGAAGATTAGGGATAGTCTGACATTGGAACATTACTCCCAGAAGGTGCAGGTATATGAGCAGGACATGCTTTTAATAAAGAATGTGCCACAAGCATACCGTACAGATTGGCAGGCCCCCAAGGATTTTAGCATAGAATGTAGAACGGTGTGTTTAAAAATAAGAATTTAGAACTGGCCTTAAAACAACAACATACAAACAGAACTAGATTTCACTTTATCTTATCCCTGTGATGAGACACAGGGACCTGCTACCTTGAACCTGCATTGGCCTCGCTCCTTACCTACCCTTTCAACACAAGTCCCCTGTTATCAGATCAGCTGAGGTCCTAGTTCAGAGCTAAACCGAGGTTACTGTGTGGTTGAGCCCTTGGATGCTGTTATGAGCAGGACTGTTTGTTCTCCCAGAGAGTTTTCATTAGTGAGTATTCAGCACTTTCTCGAAAATACCAACTCCAGAGGTTTCCCAGGTAGCACTGTGGAAGGTCGTTTTGGGGTAGGAATCAAAAGCTCCTTTTGATGCTTTTTTTTTTTGTGAAGAAAAACTTCGGGCTTGTGGGCCAGAAATTGATCAGGCCAGGCAAGCCATCTCCTTGCTGGTGGGTTGATCTGGCACCAGTGGGCCTTAATCCACTGCTTTCGTTTTCCTGAAATGTTAAATATCCGTTCAAAATTTTCAGAACATATTACCTTGGAGCGTTATATAGATTTTTACGATACCTAGAGGTAATGCGCACATCTGTTATCCTACTTTGAGTTTTTCAGTACAGATCACATCTTTCATTTATTTTACTTATTTAAAACTTGTTACTCGAGTATAATTAACACATAGTGTTACCTTAGTTTCAGCTACACAAACAGTGATTCCAGAGCTCTATGCACATTATGCTGTGCTCACCACCGTGATGACTTTTTTTTGATGAGTGTCATCCAGTGGCATTTATCAAGCACTAGTTTGAGTAAGAACTCTGCAGAATTGACATGGGTTTTCTCTGTGGGTGATTCAAGAAAGTTCAAGAAATAAAGTCATGCTGGAGGCAAAGACACTGAATACGGAAAGCAGGATAAAAAAGAAACTGTTCCGGGGAGGTTTAGAGCAAGGAATTTTTTTTTTTAAGGCGCATAATGCCTGCTATGGCACATGTCCCAGCACCGTACATACAGTAGCTTAGTTAAGTTTCTCCAGCAGTTCTGTGAGGTGGATACCAGGCTCATAAGGCCCATCTTATAGATGGGGAGACCAAAGCACGGGAACATTAAGTGACTCGTCACAAGTCGCACAGCAAATACGCGGTGGGGTGAAGATTCAAAACCCAGGCACAAGATGTCCTGGGTTTGCCTTGTACTTCACCTGTCCCAGATCTGGAAACAGGCGTTCACCGAAGGTTCCTAGTTCCCTTTGTTCTTTGTGCAAATGGTGTATAGTCAGGAGAGTGGCTAAAAGTCCTCAAAGTAATAATCTCATCTTTCAGTAGTCCTTCATTTTGTTACACATTTAGGCTCAGTTATTTCTGTTTCTATTCGGTTTTGCTTTTTTTCTGTTTTAATTGTTTGAATTTGTGAAACATTTATGTGGTTCAGAACTATTTCTGAGAATATACTTAGGAGTCCTGTTTGATTCTCATGTCTTTACTCAGTTCCCACCCCTCCCACAGATGGCTCGATAGTGTATTTTAGGGGCTAGACTCCCCTCCTTGACCTTTTTCTTCAGGGTAGTGAAGATTTTAAAAACTGGATAGCCTCCTTGTAGGCAAAGTACTCTCCCACTAACCCTAAGAGAGTACATTTATACAACTTCTTTGGAAACCAGGTGGGTGGTACTTATTAGAAACCATAAAAACATTCATAACCTTTGATTCCATAATGCTGAAGAAATAGAAACCCTGGCAGAGATATTCATTGCAACATTTTCCAAAGGGAGACAAAAACAATTTCATTGTCCATCTGTAACCACTAAAATGGTATATATTCACAGATTATTCACTGATGCTAGTAAGGTTCTCACAATATGAGAAGTGAAATAAAGCAGTGTACACAAAAATTAAGATTTTGCACATTAGGAGAAGACAAGAAAAATGCATAAAAATGCTAAGGCATTTTTGTTTTACTCTTTTTATGGATTATAGGCTGGTGAATGAGCATATGTTATTTTTTAATCTGAAGGATGTTTAAAAAGAAAAAGCCAAATCTTTTCTACTGTTTACAAATCCAAAGAGCAGAAGTATTAAAAATGATACTTATAGACTTCACCATTTTTAAAATTTTGTGTTGGAAGTATTTGTATTATTCTTAATATACAAGGTACTAGACTAATATCACTCCCCTTTTGATGGCTAAAATTTTATAACAGGGATTACAATTCAGAGTCTACACATGACTTTCTAGGTGCCTTACCTTTATTCTTTAGAGAGTTAATTTTTTTCTTTACCTTCTAATGTCTTGCGAACAAATGTTAGAAAGCTGAATGTAGAATGTATTTCCTCCAGAGCAGGCAGTTTTTGTTGTGTTAACTTCTCTTAAATAGGTTAGATGTAATAGTACTAACCTTTATAAATATTTGTCTTTTCAGCACCTCAAAGACAAGTTCTGGAATTTTATTTTCTACAAGTTCATTTTCATTTTTGGTGTGCTGAATGTGCAGACGGTGGAAGAGGTGGTCATGTGGTGCCTCTGGTTTGCTGGACTTGTATTTCTACATCTGATGGTTCAGCTCTGCAAGGACCGATTTGAATATGTGAGTTTTTAGCCAAGCTCTCTGCTTGCTTAGTCACACATTTGCCAGGTTTGAATTGTGTAAGATGAAGGAGCCATAACGGGCACGTCCTGGGTAGGTCTCCAGGGCAAGGCTCCCAGATCAGGTAGCCGCCGCCTGTTTCTTAAGGAACTTCCTGTAGCAGCCACAGAATGCAGGATCAGTGTCTCTGCTGAAGGTTCCTTCCCCTCCCCACTAGCAGAGCGCGTTACAGCCGGCGTGGGGTCAGTTCACCTACACAAACTGTTCCCATCACAGCTCAAGGAAAGCTTAACGTATAAGCTGAATAAAAGCGGCTGTCTTCCAGATATTTTCTGTTCCAGTCTCCTTCCGTTTTTTTCCTCTGATTCTTGGAACCTTCTTTTGGACTAGTTTACACTGTTTCCACCCCTGGGCAAGGACTGAATTAGCCCTCTTGTCTCCCTGGGTCCTGAGAGAAGTGAATCCTTCTCTGTCCGGGTACAAGATCTGTCTCTTGACTTCAGATCAGAGCTGTGGGGTGAACCCTCACTCTTCAGTGCCCCTGGACGAACGTCAAGGGTCCTGGGGAAACGCACACCTACAGTTCTGCCCCTTAGTTACACCACTCCGGGGCCTCATTTGCTCTTCGCTTCACCTGGTCCTCGTGGACAGGTGGTCCCTGCACCTCTGTGTGAGTTCATCTCGGTCTGAAAGCTCTTCAGGGGTCAGGAGCAGGAGCGCGCAACCTCCCTAACGGGTTTGTTATCTCCACCCTCCTGCTCAGACTCCCAGCCCAGGCCTCTCTGTCCCCGCTGTTGCCTCTCCTTGTATACTGTTAACCTAGCATCGTGGTAGGGGGCGCTCCGCACCTGGATGACATTTCCCTTGTCCCAGCCCCGAACCCTGTAGGAATATGCTCCCAGTGAATTTTCGGGAGGAGGGGGAGAGCAAGATCGAGAAAGAAACACAACAGAACATGGTGCTGTCCAGGGCGCCTGGGTGGCTCAGTTGGTTAAGCGGCTGCCTTCCGCTCAGGTCATGATCCTGGAGTCCCGGGATCGAGTCCCGCGTCGGGCTCCCTGCTCAGCGGGGAGTCTGCTTCTCCCTCTGACCCTCTTCCCTCTCGTGCTCTCTATCTCTCATTCTTTCTCTCTCTCAAATAAATAAAATCTTTAAAAAAAAAAAAAAGAGCATGGTGCCGTCTGGAGTGCTGTTGAATATTGAGAGACTTAAATACCTTTGGAAAATTGCTTAGAGAGAGGCTTATCATTCCACTGGTAGGAGGATTCTTGAGAATTTGAGATGGAAATATGATGTATATTGTTAATATTCTGTAAAGTAAGTGATAAAGATCTCTGAATATCAGCTTGTGCTCATATTTAGGTTGGTTGGAGAATTTGACCATCTGGCACTGGGGTGCTTTTCTGTGCTTGGCATTTGGCGGCGCTGCTAAGCCCAGGTTCCTGAGCAAAGACACAGAGACTACCCTTGAGTTTCTCAGGGATGCTTAACAGTGCCGTGAAGAATGAGCTTCCTTCTCCTGTTTTGTACGTTTCAGCTTTCCTTTTCTCCCACCACACCCATGAGTAGCCACGGGCGAGTTTTGTCTCTGTTGATCGCAATGCTGCTTTCTTGCTGTGGATTGGCAGTCGTCTGCTGTGTCACAGGCTACACCCACGGGATGCATACGCTGGCTTTCATGGCAGCAGAGGTAAGGTGTGGACGCGGGTTTTTGTTCTGATCATACTCCTGTATGTTTTCAAGTCACCCATGTTGTGACTGAGGGATATTTGGTCTTTTGTTTTAACAAGCATGTTTTGAATTCCTTGCTTTTGTGTTGGGTACTGGTATTGAAGGGGAAAATGTATGATTTCCTGTAATCCTTGCTACAACATAATAAAAGATAATTATTTTTGCCCACATTTCTGTAGTGCTTACTGTATGCTGAGGGTTGCTGTAAATACCTGCAGTGTATTGACTCATTTTATTCTGTTTATAAGTGGGGAAACTGGTGTAGAGGGTGCAGTGAATTATTTAAGGTTTCAGAGTGATCAGTGGCACAGTCCAAAAATTGAATTTTTTTAGCTAGGATATAAATTAAAATCTTATAGGATAATAGAAATATGTAAGCTATATTCTTTCTTTTGGAAGACTAATCTGAGATATTCATGTATATTTTAAATTTACTTTTTAAACCTTTGAAAATACCAATTTTTGTTCAATAGAAATAAAAATTTTTTTGTATGTCCTTATATTCAGTTGCTATCTTTGCTTTTTTCCTCAGGCCAAAGGCAAAATATTTTTATCTTTACCATAATTGCTACTATTAAGGAAAAAAATGAAATAATAATTAAAGTTAATTAATATCAAAATACTAAGTTTGAACTGCTATTTGGGAATTTGTTAGAATAGGGTTAACATTTATTGGGGTGCCTGGCTGGGTCAGTCGGTGGAATGTGTGACTCTTGATCTGGGGGTCGTGAGTTCAAGCCCCATGTTGGAGGTAAGAGTTCATTTTAAAAACTAAAAAATTTTTTTTTAAATTTTGCTTAATAGCATTGATTTCAGAATATGATGTAGTAGTGTAAAATTAGGAAGGGAACATTTAAGTACTTAGTAAAACATTCGCAGTTCTAAATGAATACTGTCTATATGTGTATATTTCTCTTGAAAAAATTAAAAATTTTTTTGCACTGATCTATGTTATTAGTTTGCTTTAGATATATTTTACAATAAATCATCATTTGCATGATAGTCTGGTTTTCCTGCTTTTTACTTTTAATTAATATTAAGCCAAACTTTGGAAAAGGTATACCTAAAAATAAAGACATTTAAATTAGGCCTATTGGGTCTTACTGTAGTACATATTTTTATTTTAGCTCATTACTGTGATTGTTTCAAGATAATAATGTTACAGATTTTATATTTTGAACTTAATCATATTTTTGTTTATAGTGTTAATCTATGTAAAATATTTTCCATTTATAAATTGGGATTTCCAAATCTCAAACAATGTAACAGTTCTATTCTGGTAGTTTAAGAGGAGATTTTTTTTAATACCAATTTCTATAATACAAAATACTGCGAAGGTCTTATTCTTTATTTCCTTCGTTCTGTTTGTTTCTGTGTGGGCAAGGGAAGTATACAAAGCGTTGTGTAGAGGGCAGGTGCTCATCTTGGATTGGGGTACCTGAACTATACTTTGGGTAGAGGATCACCAAGTATTCAAACGCCCTTTGTAGTAATCAACGATGGTAACTTCCTGCTGTGTAAAATAGAAGTGGTTGTCAAATTACTAGAATGAACCTCAAGATTATAGGAGGCAGCCCCAGGAGATGGACAGGTGTAATCAGCTGTCACCTTTTAACAGAAAAAAGGCTCAATGGAAGTTGGTTTCTAGGTCATGAATTCTGTGGAAATTTGAAGCAGATAAAAAATAGTTGGTAAGCTTGAACAACCTGCTTTTTTTTCTTTCAGTTTTATTGTGATATAATTGACATACAGCATTGTATAAGTTTAAGGTATACAGCCTAATGATTAACTGACATAGATTGTGAAGTGATTATGACAGTAAGTTTCCTTAACATCCATCATCTCATTATAGATACAGAAAAAGAAAGAAAAGGGTTTTTTCCCTTGTGATGAGAACTTTCAGGATCTACCCTCTCCACAACTTTCAGATGTACCACAGCAGTGTTAACTACAGTCATTATGTTGGACGTTACATCCCCAGTCCTCATTTATCTTGTAACTGGGAGTTTCTACTTTCTGACCGCATTCATCCCATTCCCCCACCGCCCCCTCCCTTGAATAACCCGTGTTTTAGTTGAACTGAGAAATGCTTGCCTTTTATCTTTCTGTAAAAGTTAAGTTTGGCCTGAGCAATTCCAAATTTTACTAAAGAAAAAATACATCTTTCTTTATAGTCTCTTCTTGTGACAGTGAGGACTGCTCATGTGATTTTACGGTGAGTAGAGATTTGGGAGGGAGGTGATTGAGGTCTACTCATACAGTTGATTTTAAGATGTCACATGTTTAAAATCTATAAAAATGTGACTATACTGCATCATGTGTAAGCCAGATTAAACTAACAGTAAATTGCTAAAATGATTTTTCTCTGTTCACTGCAGATATGTAATTCACCTCTGGGACCTCAACCATGAAGGGACGTGGGAGGGAAAAGGAACCTATGTCTATTACACAGATTTTGTCATGGAGCTCACTCTCTTGTCCCTGGACCTCATGCACCATATTCACATGTTGGTAAGCTTCCTCAGAAGGAGCTCTAATGGAGAGCTAAGTGTTTTAGAATCAGAAACCCTGGTTAGTCCATAAGAAATGAAACATTTGTGGATAAACTGCGTAAAGACTCTCAAAACAAACGCGGCTGTGCCCGTCTGTCTGTCTGCCGCTGGGTATAGAATAATGGCGTGCACTTCGGCTGGAGCCCAGCTTGAGTTTGCTGTCCTCCTAGGGCACTCTGTGACCTCCACTGACCTAGTCACTGGTCATTCTTCTACCATGAAATTAAGAGGATTCCGTATGCTCCCCCTAGTTTCTGTGGCTTCTGATACATAGCAGTTACTTTGTAGGGGGTAATGGGAACTCTCGCAATGTTAGCTACTTCATGGATTCATAAAGTTTCTGCTTTATAATTAAAAAGAAAGCATTTGTACTTAATTCCTCCTACTTCATCATTTACATTTTACTTTGCTGTGCAAGAAATTACAGTTTTGAAAATCTGCTTCCGTGGTTAGCACTTCAGTGATCTAATAATGGTGAGAATCAACATATTTGATGGGCAGTTGATTTATACTATAAGCCTATTAAAGACGCATTTAAAAATTACTGGGTTAGGGGTGCCTGGGAGGCACAGCTGGCTAAATGTCTGACTCTTGGTTTTGGCTCAGGTCGTGAGATTGAGCCCCAAGTCAGGCTCCATGCTCTGAGTGGTGTCTGCTTGTAACTCCCTTTCCCTCTCCCCATACCCCTCCCCCCTCAAATAAATAAATAAATCTTTAAAAAAAATGACTGGGTTAGACACAGGACATTTCTAAGTATGCTTTTTGAAAATGACTTTGAAAACATATTTAAAAAAAACATGTATAGCTTTTGTTTAAAGCTCCCTCGAATGCCCAGGGATAACTATTAACGTTTTATTGTGTTTATTGCTTCCTTTTATATTCAAATACATACAGTCATAAATTGAGATTGTATTTTGGACATTCAGTTTAGTTTTGCTTTTTTTTTTTTTTTTTAGCTAATGTATTATCTGTATTGTCCTGTGCTAGCCACCGTTCTTCGGAACCATTTAATGCTTTCAGGATAAGAATTCCATCATATAGATGTATAGTGATTTAATTAACCAGCCCTCATAATGGATATTTAGATTGTATTCAGTTGTTTGCTATTTTCACATCTTTACATAGTTTATCACATATTAGTTTTTTGAGATAGTTTTATCTGGCTTTTTTCACTTAAATATTTTCCCATGTAATTAATCTTTAAAAATGTTATACGTAAATATAGTATAATAATATATAACTTTATTTCATAAAAAATGTAATTAATGACTATATACTATTACATTATATGAATTTACAACCTATTTCCCTACTGGGCATTTTGCTAATTTCCTGGTTTTCTTTTTTTATAATTGCATGGATGGATATCTTTGTGCATAAAGCTTTTAAATTTCGGATTAGTTCCTGAGAAAAAATAGCTGATGATGGAATGACTAAGCCAAAGAGCGTGTTCATTGTTTATGGTAGTGAGATAAATATCTGCATTTGCTTGGTGAAAGATTGTTCCAGTTCCTGTTTACCACCAATAAGAGCTTCTGTTACATACGTCACCTTTGTCACTAGCAAGTTCACATTCATTTTTATTGTGTGTTTCATTCTCTGTCCTTCCTGCGAAGTTATTTGGCAACATCTGGTTATCCATGGCCAGCTTGGTCATCTTCATGCAGCTGCGCTACCTATTCCACGAAGTGCAGCGTCGGATCCGCCGGCACAAGAACTACTTGCGTGTGGTTGGCAACATGGAGGCCAGGTGCGTGAGCACATGCTGATGTTGCCCAGCTGGACTCGTTTTAGATCTTTTATAATAACAGATCCCAGGTGATCTGAGAACCACTTTTGTTAGCTGTTAACCGAAGGGTGAAGAGGATAAGTGGAGGCTCTGGAGAAGGACTGCCAGGTGTGAATCCTACCTATGTGAGGATTTGCTGTGTGATTTGGGGGCACCTTAATTAAATCTCTGTGCCTCAGTTGCTTCCACTCTAGGGATGATAGCAGAGCCTTTGTCCTGGAACTGCTGGGGGGAGCCAGTGGGGTAGTGCAGGTAACATGCTTAGAACAGTATGGGTATGTAGTAGCTGCTCAATAAATACTAGGTGGTTCTTATTTTGCCATTAGTTTTATCATCATCATCATCATCATCATTAAGCGGAAGCTTCCTTGGGCTTCTGTCCTCTATTTTATGAAGTGGGTCTCACTTAATTCCTTCCACATGCATGTTTACACACACGCTCTTAAGCTCACCAAGGGAGGGACTCACTTGCCAGCCTGCAGATGTGAGATGAATGGGTATCCTTTTAGTGTCCAGGGGAACAGTTTGGCTCTCCAGGGGTGGGTCTTAACTCCTCTGGTTTGCCCAGAAATGTTCCCTCAAATCATTTTTAGCTAATGTGTTATGTTGAAGGAACTAATAGCTGTTGTTAAGACAGAGTTCGTTTCTGTGTTTACGTTTCTTGCTCTCTGGTGGGCTATGAAGAGAAAGCAGGTGTAATGTTTTTGATGGTTGGGCACGTTCAACTGCCCCAGATTCCTCTGTAACTGCTGTCAGAGGGCGAAGTTTATGGCGTGGCACTCAGTGTACATGTGTGGAACTGACGGAGGTCTGCTGGCTGCGTTCGTCTTTTACAGGTTTGCCGTAGCAACTCCGGAGGAGCTGGCTGTCAACAATGATGACTGTGCCATCTGCTGGGACTCCATGCAGGCTGCGAGGAAACTGCCCTGCGGACATCTTTTCCACAAGTAGGGCCTGGGGTTCTGCCCAGGGCGTGGGGGTGCTGTTTGTGCCCGGGCTCCGGACCAGTCCTAGCAAAGGGGTGGGGACATTACCTCCGACTGGCCGTGGAGCTGGCAGTGAGTGCTGTGGGAAGCTCTGGGCTGTCCTCCTCCATCCCTCAGCCTCATCACTCTATGGCAGGACCGTTCCCCACTCACAGCCCGCCATCCTAATTTCTGGGTCTGCTGACTCTCTTCATATTCCTTGTCAGTTTCAGCCCTGAGGTAGAACAAGTGTGCCTGTAAGATTTAAAAGAAAGGGATGTGGGGAATCCTTGCTTTCAAACAGCTTATGCACTCACTGGGACAAGAGAATGTATTTTTCCATTTTGCACATGCACAAAAGTAACAGAGAAACAACATGCTAGGGAGGTTGGCTGAGTTGGGGACTGGACCAGGACCACTGAACAGTCCAGAAAAACTATGACTATACAATCAGGGAGAACAAAACAGCATTTTCAGAAAATCTTTTTTTTTTTTCCCAAGATTTTATTTTTTTATTTGAGAGAGAGAGGGTGTGTGCACAAGTCGGGGAGTTGGGGCGGCGGGAGAGGGAGAAGCAGATGCCCCGCTTAGCAGGGAGCCCGATGTAGGGCTCTTGATCTCAGGACCCTGGGATCATGACCTGAGCTGAAGGCAGATGCTTCACTGACTGAGCCACCCAGGCACCCCCAGAAAATCTCTTAAGAATGCACCAGATCTGTGGGCAGGACAGGTTTGTTCCTCTGGCAGGGAGTCCTGTTGCCTCTTTCTGTGTTGTGGCCCTCACTGCCTTACTTATTCATTCTTAGAGATCTCATAGGGGCTGAATCTGTTTAATCTAAATCACTGTGTCTATGGAGTAGACGTCTTTTTTTTTTTAAGATTTTATTTATTAGAGAGAGAGCATGAGCAGGGGGAGAGGGAGAGGGAGAAACAGACTCCCTGCTGAGCGGGAAGCCAGACAGGGGCCTGGATTCTAGGACCTTGAGATCATGACCTGAGCCAAAGTCAGATGTAAAGACTGAGCCACCCAGGCGCCCTGGATTGGATATTTTTTTGATGTTGAGGTATTTATGGGGTATCTTTGGCTTTTTGCATCTGTGATCATTTTTGCACATTGAGAAAGTTTTCATCTTTACATCTTTAATCTTCCTTTTCTCATTTTATATTCCCAAATTGTTTTTCTTCTTTTTTTTTTTTTTAATATTAGAAGGGCTTTGGAGCTTGAGCATCAGTAGCTAAATACATATACTTACTTTAATTTTAATTTTTTAAATTTAAATACTTTTTTTAATTTAAATTTTAGATAATATATAGTGCAATTTTTTTTTTTAAAGATTTTATTTATTTGAGAGAGAGAGAATGAGAGATAGCACGAGAGGGAAGAGGGTCAGAGGGAGAAGCAGACTCCCCGCTGAGCAGGGAGCCCGATGTGGGACTCGATCCCGGGACTCCAGGATCATGACCTGAGCCGAAGGCAGTCGCTTAACCAACTGAGCCACCCAGGTGCCCCTATAGTGCAATTTTTTTTTTAAGATTTTATTTATTTATTTGAGAGAGAGAATGAGATAGAGAGCATAAGGGGGGGGGGTCAGAGGGAGAAGCAGACTTCCTGCTGAGCAGGGAGCCTGATGCGGAACTCAATCCCGGGACTCCAGGATCATGACCTGAGCCGAAGGCAGTCGCTTAACCAACTGAGCCACCCAGGCACCCCAATATATAGTGCAGTATTGGTTTCAGGAGTAGAATTCAGTGATTCATCACTTGCATATAACACCCAGTGCTCATCACAAGTGCACTCCTTAATGCCCATCCCCCACCCACCTCCCTCCATCAGCTCTCAGTTTGTTTTCTATCGTTAAGAGTCTCTTATGGTTCATTTCCCTCTCTTCCTTTTTTCTTTTCCCCCTCTCATATGTTCATGTTTTTCTTAAATTCCACATGAGTGAGATCATATGGTATTTCTCTTTCTCTGACTGACTTATTTCACTTAGCATAATAGCTTATCCACATCGTTGCAAATGGAAAGATTTCATTTTTTTGATGGCTGAGTAATATTCTAGTGGATATGTATACTACATCTTCTTTATCCATTCATCAGTCAGTGGACATTTGGGTTCTCTCCATAGTTTGGCTATTGTCGATAACGCTGCTATAAACATTGGGGTGCATGTACCCCTTCAAATCTGTATTTTTGTATCCTTTGGGTAGTAATTCAGTTGCTGCATCATACAGTAGTTCTATATTTAACTTCCTGAGGAAACTCCAAACTGTTCTCCAGAGTCTACCAGTTTGCATTCCCACCAACAGTGAGAGAGGAGTCCCCTTTCTCCACATCCTCGCCAACATCTGTTGTTTCTTGTATTGTTAATTTTAGCCATTCTCACAGGTTATGAGGCAGTATCTCACTGTGGTTTTGATTTGCATTTCCCTGATGATGAGTGGTGTTGAGCATCTTTTCATGTGTCTATTAGCCATCTGGATGTCTTCTTTGGAAAAGTGTCTATTCATGTCTTCTGCCCATTTCTTAGCTGGGTTATTTCTTTTTGGGGTGTTGAGCTTGATAAGTTCTTCATAGATTTTGAATACTAACCCTTTATTAGATACGTTGTGTACAAATACCTTCTTCCATTCTGTGGGCTGCCTTTTAGTTTTGTGATTGTTTCCTTCATTATGCAGAAGCTTTTTATCTTTTTTTTTTTTTTTTAAGATTTTATTTATTTATTTGACAGAGAGAGACACAGCAAGAGAGGGAACACAAGCAGGGACAGAGGGAGAGGGAGAAGCAGGTTTCCCACGGAGCAGGGAGCCTGATATGGGGCTCAATCCCAGGACCCTGCGATCATTACCTGAGCCGAAGGCAGACACTTAACGACTGAGCCACCCAGGTGCCCCAGAAGCTTTTTATCTTGATGAAGTCCCAGTAGTTCATTTTTGCTTTTGTTTCCCTTGCCTCCAGCGATGTGTCTAGGAAGAAGTTACTATGACCAAGGTCAAAGAGGTTGCTGTCTGTGTTCTCCTCTAGGATTTTGATGGTTTCCTGTCTCACATCATCCATTTTGGATTAATTTTTGTCCAGTTTCATTTTTCCGCATGTTGCTGTCCAGTTTTCCCAACACCATTTGTTGAAGAGACTGTCTTTTTTTCCATTGGATATTCTTTCCTGCTTTGTCGAAGATTGGTTGACCATATAGTTGTGGGTCCATTTGTGGAGAACAGATATTGATAGAATTTTTTATGTGGTGTTCTGTTGGGGTCTGGGGATAAAACGGAAACCACAGATATGGTCTTTGCTTTCGTGTAGCTTGTAGTTTAATGGAGGAGATGAACATAAATTAGCCAGGCACATTTCTGAATGTATAAGTATAAATTGAGTGAAGTACTGTAAAGGAAAGGAATGTGATTCTTGAGAACTTGTAGCAAAGGAATCTGACTCAAGCCTGGAGGAAGTGACTCTTGGTGATGAGTAGGACTTGAGTCAGCAAAAAGGAGAGTGACCCTCTAGCAGGAGGGAATGGGGTGTGTGGGAGGAACTGGAAGAGAACTGGTGTGACCAGGACTTAGAGCATAGGAGGGGAGTGGCGTTTGCTGAGTCAGGAGAAGCAGGCAGGGGCTTGAGGGCCAGTGGAAAAGGTGAGACGTCATTGAAGGGTTTTAGGAGGGGTTGGGGATCAGATTTGCGGCTTGAGAAGATCAGGGGGACTAGTTAGTAAGGGCTGCAGTGATTCAGGCATGTGTTGAGAGTAGCTTGGGCTACAGTGGTGGAAGGCGGTTGGGGAGAAGTGGACAGATCAGAGGAATGGAGGCATGTGGTACCGGATTGGCTGTGAGGATGAAGTCTAAAAGAGGAATCAGGGATTCTCCTGGTTTTACAGCTGGGTAACTGCATGTATAGTGCTGGTTGAGGTTGGAAGACCAGAGAATTCACACACATTTCTCCAAAGGAGCTTAGAGACAGTTGGAAAGACTAAAGTGTACTTTAGTCTAGAAGAAATCTAAAGCACATGATTAGATTAAGTTTATGATTTCCTTTTTTGATGAGGGCAAAATTCACGTAACATACAGTTAACCTTCTTAAAATGTACAATTCAGTGGCATTTAGTGCATTCAGTGTTGTGTAGCTACCACTTCTTTCTAGTTTCAAAACTGTTTCATCATCACAGCGTGACACCCCATACTCATTAAAGTAATGAGTCCCTATTTCTCCGTCCTCCGTCACCAGGCAACCACTAATCTGCTTTCTGTCTATGGATTTGCCTCTTCTGGACAGTTCATATAAAAGGAATCCTACCTTTTGTGACTGGATTCTTTCACTCAGCAGAATGTTTTCAAATCCAAGTTGTAGCAAATATCAGCACTTCATTCCTTTTTATGGCTGAATTTAAATAATTTTATAATAAACAATTTACCCATTCATCTGTTGATGGGCATTTCGGTTATTTCTACCATTTAGGTATTGCAAATATTGCTATGATCAAATTTGTGAACAAGTATCTGTTTGAGTACCTGTTTCTAATTCTTTGGGGTATACCTAGGAGTGGAATTCCTGAGTCATATGTCATTCTCTGTTTAACTTCTTGAGGAACTAATTCTTTGGGGTATACCTAGGAGTGGAATTCCCGAGTCATATGTAATTCTCTGTTTAACTTCTTGAGGAACTACCAAACTGTTTTCCAGCAGCTACACCATTTTATATCCCACCAACAATGTATGGAGATTCTAATTTCTTCACACTTTATACTTCACATTTATTATTTTTTCTGTTTTTCTGATAGCTGTGCTAGTGGGAAGTGGTATCTCATTGGGATTTTGATTTGCATTTCCTTAATGACCATTGATGCTGAACATTGTGCCTGTTGGCCATTTGTATATCTTCTTTGGAAAGTGTCTCTTCAACTCCTCGGCCCATTTTTTAATTGGGTTGTTTGTCTTTTTGTTAATAAGTTGTAAGAGTTCTTTCTATGTTCTGGATACTAACCTTTTAT